TTGAACTCAGGACCTCGTGATTGCCAGCCAACTGCTTATTCAACTGAGCTATCTCCCCAGCCCTAGAATTCATATTTTCTTAAAACTCTGTTCGTGGAGCTTATCTAGGGCTGGTGGAAACAGATATTTTTGAACTCAAAGCTGCTCAAAAGAGTCATCAGCTATTTGCCTGGAAACCTTTAGCCAGCTCCTGAGTAGAATTTCTTCTCTTTGACATTTTTCACCTGCTTTCAGTTAATAGATAGAACCTTGGGAATAATTTCACATGTACCAACGGATTTCTTTTATTTGACAGTTTAAAAAGCAATTTGAAATTGTACTTTTTGCTTCATGTAAATATTGCCTGTCACCAAATGCCCTAGGCTGCAGCACTAATGACTAACCCTGTGGAAGAGGAACTGGGGCTCAAGTGCCTTTCAGATTCAGAGAATTTCAGGAGCATTCTCTCAGTGAGCCGGGCCACGGGCACAGAAGGGAAGCACATTCCCGGGTGGATCTTGGTACCTAGCTTCAGTGCCCTGGGACTTGGGGGGCCTGTTTCTGTTTCTGCAGCTGTCTGTCTTCTTCTGGCTTGATGCAGTAGGAGACTACGTGGCCAGTTCTAGCCATTTTTATAGAATGGCTCTGTCTGTGGTGAAGGGCACAATGTTTTTCGCTTAAAAATCCTTTTCTGTGATGCATGAGCCTCATCGTTTAATTAGTGTCCTCCCTGTAGAATGACCTTCTTTGTGACTTCTCATCCTTCCCACTCTGTAACACAGCTACATCCATCTGTGCCAGCGAGGCAGTAGTTCTCGAGCTTGAGCGCGCCTCAGTCTCCAGTGGAAGGCTTGCGGGCAGTCCAGTGGCACTGCCGACAGCCTCCCCAGAGCTTCTGCTGTAGTAAACTGGAGCCTGAAAACTCGCATTTCCAGCACATCCTGTGGAGCTGATACAGCTGGTTCAGGGACCACACTTGGAGCGCCGTGGGGCTAGGTTACACCGTAGCACAGGGACGACAGAACGCAAACCATAGACGTTTCTTCATGCTGGAGCCTCTGGTCTGTCAGGAGGAGTGTGCGCTGAGGAGGGTGTCAGGAGGAGTGTGCGCTGAGGAGGGCTCACACACATACCTGAGAGCAGCCAGTCTTGCCTGCCATGACAGAGCGCAAAGAGACATTGGCAGGCCCTGTACTGCCCATTGGATGCTCGTGCTCAAAAGTGACATGCCTACTCACTGGCCAAGGCTGGTCCTGTGGCCCTACCAAGCTCTGAGTGGGTCTCGAAGTGCCATCCTTGTGTTGCGGCTAAGACCTGAGCTCTGCAATGGGCAGCCCCAGTGACAGCCATGTTGGTAGCGCTCACTTCTCTTCCCTCCCCTTACCGCTCCTTCCCTGTCCTTAGAAAAGTTGCTCATGCTGTGTCCCTAAAGAGCAGGCATGCTTTCCATCACAGCCATTCTGTCTGTGTGACACAGGTGAGAGTACCTGTCCCCTCCTAGCAAGTAAAAACCTCACCATCTTATCCACAGCCCCAAATGCAGTGCCTCCAGCCCATTCTGTATTTAATAAAGTCTTTATAGAGTAAACAAATAAACACATTTTTGCCCACTGTGAAGAAGACAAGGAATGGTTGCTCTGTTAGGGCTGCTGCTCTTGCTGGTGGTTTTCACCCATCTTCACCATCAGGGCCACCAGTGCCCTGGGACAGATCTCAGCCGACCCAGACACTCCTGCATGCACTCTTGTTGTGGTCACATCCTTACATCTCGGCAGGGCATGCAATGGTTTTCCCTTCTGTCTCTGCTCAGCTCTACTCAGCCTCCCTGGCAAAGGCACCATCTGGTTCCCTGGGGCTCTGTTCTAGCCCTTCTTTTCTCCTTGCTCTCTGCCCGCCTTCCTGAGGCTACAGCGCTAATGACTAGCCCTGTGGAAGATAGACCTGGGGCTCAAGCGCTGAAGACAGTCATCAGTGCTCTCCTTGCTGCCGACTCCCAAGTCTGTCTCTAGCTAGAACCTCCTCCGGGTCTTGTGTGTTCAGGGTATGGCCTTTGTCCTCCCATCTCTTCTCCACACCCCACACCAAGCCCATCACTCACTGGGCCTCAGATCTGTCCCCTTCTCCCAGCCATTCTGACTCCACTGAGTCCCTTTCTCATGAAGATCATTGTTTCTGAACCAGGTTGTCTAACCCTAGTCTTCCTATTACACTCTCTTCTCCGCCACTGGGTAAAGTTATTGTTTGGAGAAAGAAAAATGTGATTATGCTCGTCTTTGTATAACTACCCCCCCCCCAAAAAAAACCCCACTTCTTCAGCTCAAGCATGTAAGGCCCAGTACGAGTCAACCAGCACTCCCAGCACTGGCTGTACATTCATTTTTTGCCCCTGGGGATGGAATGAGGACTAGCACCCCAGACCCTCCCCTCATGCCTGCCCTGCCA